TTGCTATCATATTTAGTCTTAGGAGGAGTTTACCTCCTAATTAACATTGCACTCTCAAGCAATGTGACTCTATCCGCGACTGATGCCCGTAACCGACATCTTCGACAAGATAATGCTACCGGCCTAGCACCGTCTATGGGTAGGGGCCCCTTTCAGGGGGACTTGCATATCTAGTCAAGATTATCTGGGCACCAGCCATTACGCAGCACCGCTTCCCACCTTTGGGTGAGAAGCCTTTGCGCCGGACTCTTCCCTGTTCACTCGCCGTTACTAGGGGAATCTCATTTGATTTCTTTTCCACCGCTGAATTATATGCTTAAATTAAGCGGGTAGCCTCATCTTCACTGAGATCGAAAAGTATAGGAATGAAAGGTTGTGTATGTACTTATACTAACAGTATAGTCTGTGTTTACAGAGAAACAGGCATGAGACCCGATATATATGTATATATAGATACACACAAGTGTATTTAATACAGTATATACAAGGTAGATTAATGTACCCATTCAACATGACTTTTTCATCATGAGAATGAAGTACCCTACTCAGGTACTCATGTCTCTTGCCGTCATATCTCGCATCACCACTCTTTATAGAGTGGAGAGAGGCGAAGTATATAGACGGTAGACTTACTGTAGCGAACATATCCTGGCTAGAGCAACAGTATATACGTATATATATGTTAGCCCAAGACGCAAGACCACAATATTGTCAATATATCCTGTATGAAACAGAATAATCGACCGCAATACAAAGTGTTAGCTATGCACTGTGCATACACACAGAGATAGTTAAACACAAGTATGCTTAATATATTCCATCTCGACTCTCAGTAAGATGTGACCTAGGAAAAGCTCCCAGGCCGCAATTTGCGTTAGAAGGTCGAGCGCTCAGCGTATTCCGCAATTCGCGCCGATTATCGTAGCTTGCTACGTTCCTCATCGATTAGCAATCCGAGTGATCCACCGCTTGCAGTTGTATTTGCCGCATAGGACTTCAGATAATTCTAAATCTTCAACAATATATATGGGTAAACACAAGTATAAGGTATGAACATAGTTCATTTGATGGCGGTATACATGGGTGTACCATACATACTCTTTAAACCTAGCAGCCTAGTAATACAGTCCTTTTACAGACTATACCCAGGATACCCTTAGTCGGGTGAACAGACAGACACTTGAAGTTAATCAAGTAGTACTGCTGCTACCGGCTAAGACTAGGTACCGACCTTAGTAAGTTTACTTGTGTTTAGCGACAG